AAAAAACATGGCAAGCTATTAATGCAAGAATATTATATAGCAAGCTAAGCAAGAAATAAACCCTTTTAAATAGAAGACATGCTACACAACTGTAAATCCTTACTACAACTGTCCATAGAAACATACAATATAAAAAAAAATTTAAATAGCAAAATTATCCTGAATTGTTCAAGCAAACAAACAAAGAAAATACACAAGATTCAAAATATAATTGGTATGAAAGTTTATTTTTATATGTTGGACTGTTGGGTTGTTTAAGTAAAATTTAATTTTTTAAAAATAAAACCTAATATAAAGATCTTTATAAATAAATGCAATACATTTAAAGCAATTTATAAAACTACGAACGAATTTAACCAAAATATCAAAAAATAATAAAAATAATAAACGATTAATTCTAGCTATAGCATATATATCCCTCCATTTCAGAGACCCCCGTCCCTCCCTTCAAGCCCCCAAAAATTCTATTGTATGCTAAGAGAAGTTTTAAACCTGCATAGACTGAGAGAAATGAAATGAATTTTACTAGTTCCAGGCGGAAAATTATTCTGTGTATTTATTCTAATTTCTAATTCACTGTATGTAGTCTCCCCTCCCCTTTCCCTCTTTTCTCTCTCTTTAAAATCTAAAATAATTCGGAGACTATGTTTGACTTTAACCTTCAACAAGCTATACGGGGATTTGCCTTCAGTTGGTTCGTGCTTGGGTTTTCTTTTTTGCCTTTAGTTTCTTCCGCTATTAAATTTGGCATAGAAAACACGTGCAAATGTTTCTAAATTGTTTATACTGAGCTGAAAACTTTAGAATGGGATTTCATTAATCCCGATTACTTAATCTGAGTATTTAATAGACACACTTATTATTTTCTTATTAATCCTCTCTTTTTGCAGATACCCCTACTGTATAGTTACTTTTGATAACAATTACTGATACGATCCTATATCGATTGGACTAATATCCGATTGAACTAAAGTCAGCTGTTCACACGCGGGCTTTTAGAGTATTTAAACCAATATAAATTTAATGATGTTAATATTAACCTATTGAAAAACATATTTTATCACATTTGAGGACTATAGTCATTTTGAACGTTAGTCTTAATAAACATTAATCCTAAACTTGCGTTTATTCAATCGATCTTTAGTTCAATTGATATGACACAATCAACACCAGAAATGCACAAAAAATAAAACCCGGTTTTTCAAAGATGAGCGCATCTTAACATGACACGCTGATTGGTTGAATTTTAAACTTCTTTCTTGGATATCGAATGCCTATTAACCTAATCTCGGGACTAGTAAAACCAGGAGATCAAGCATTGATCTCGATATCCACCATTCTAAACTGACTTCAGTTTACCGATCTATAATTATGCTATAATAATGCCTGATGTATTAACGTTAATTACCCTAATTACTTGTTTGAATTATGAGCCAAGTCTTCTCCCCCCCCCCTTTTTGTCAATACCCTTTCGACCCCTCCTACTTGAAGGCCTTAATTGTTCCTGCGAACTAGGCCTCCCCTCCCTTTGTATCTATACCCTTTTTACCCCCCTTTTCTAGAAGGCCCTAATTGCCCCTACGAACCGGCCAGGCCTCCCTTTTTGTCTCTACCCTTTTTACCCCCTTTTCTAGAAGGCCCTAATTACCCCTACGAACCAAGCCTCCCCTCCTTTTTTGTCCTCAGCGCAGATACCCTTTTCCCCCACTTTTCAAACCCTATATAAAGGCCCCTTCGACCACCGCCAGATCAGTGTGTGATCCAATTTTCAGCCGGAAATTTAATGATAGCTCATTCAAAATCAAGGGTAAATCTTTTATATCTTTAATTTTCCCCCTCCCTACCCCCTTTTGGACTCTTAGTTTTTTTTATTGTATTGTTATGTTCATGAAAGGTATCTATTTAGATTTAGTGTATTAAAAACTTTTTAAGCTTTTCACTATGTTATCACCACCAAATTGTATTTAATAAATAAGTAAAGTATTATTTCTTAACTTTTATAGGCTAGGTACCAGGTAGTCTTGCGTATAGGACGTTTTTTTGATTTCAGAATTTCGTAAACTTTATTAGATTGAACTATCCTTACAAAATAGTTTAAATATCAATATAACCAGTGGCTTAAAAATGAACATATTGTGACGGAAGATGATCAATGTGTTTTAGTAAGAACAGAAGGTGGCGGATAGATTTAAGCAAGCTGATTCAAGACTTTCCACGTTCTAAGAACATATATATAGTTTTTTAGAGTTAGTCAATAAACTTTAAACGTTGAACTTTGGCGTTATTTGAGCTAAATTGGTGACCGTAATGTTATTTTCCAATAGCTCACGGCAGAAGTATTTTTTTCCACTATAGAAGTGTTAAGCTACACGCTCAAGTGATAATGCCTAAAATCGGTGAAAATGTTAAGCTTTTTGGACCTTCTGCGCATGGTGTCCGTCAAAGTGCCTGCGTTTTGGCCATTGTATTGATAACATTTCCTACCCCTGTACTAAAACACAATAAGAATCATTAATTGGCCGCATGAAAAATCAATAACAAATATAAGATTAATTATTCTGCAAGAAAATCGTAAAAAAATTAAAGAATAATCTTAATTTTAATGACTATGAGTTGAAAAAATTTAAGCTTAGAAAAAAACTGGATAATTTTCACCTGAAGGTCCTTTCTATTCCAACCTAATTACTAGTTTCCCATATATATTTTAAGATTTCAAAGCTACAAAGCACTCATTTCTAATTTCAGTCCTGAAGAAGACTTAATAGAATCTGGAATCCAAAACTGTCAAATTGAGTCTCAATTTAATTGTCGGCACCTGTGCACTAAAAGAGAATCTGTGTAAGAAAGTCCCGGGAAAAAAGTTTCTGGAAAAAAACCTAGAAATAAAAACTGTGGAAAAAAGTCCGAATTTTAACAAGTCCTTGGAAAAAATGTCACTGGAAATAAAGTCCTGTGTTTTGGATTCCTGGGACTTTTTTCATAAAATAGTATGGGGGCTGCCAATAAAGTCTCAGGAAATAAGATCCCAGGAAAAAAAGTCCTGAAGAAAATAAATCCGAGGAAAAGAAAAACCTAGAATTGTGAATCATGCATTTTCACTTGTTAGAGGACTTTTTTGTATAAAATCATACTGGAGCCAGAAAAAAAGTCCTAGAAAATAAAGTCTCGAATTGGTAGGACTTTATTTCTACAGGACTTTTTAAGTGTGAAATTTTAGGACTTTTTTCCCGGAAACTGCACTAAGATATGGAAGACAACTCTAAAAAATCGAATTTTTTAGACAGGCTCCAGTGTTGCAACACCCTGGCCTTGGTTTCACACTAAAGACTCTCTGTACTCCTAGGCATATTCATTTTTTAAACTCAACGCGTACCTTTAAAGCGTTATTGGCAAACGCAAAATACTGCTCGATATTTGCGTAAGAGCGTACACATCTTGGTTTGCAGTGTTTCATATGAACCAAAAAAAAGCTGGTTAAATTAAAACTAGAATAGGATAAAAATATACCAGGTTGAACAATAACAGCCTTAAACCTGAGGATATAAATATCAAATAACGGAAACCATTTTCCCCCGCATTCATGCATTTTCTAATAAAAACTAAATAGAAAGAAATATGACGCAATAAAAGCCGTAATAATTTCAGACCAAGCCATGTTATATTTAGGACTGAAACCATACGCCAGCAAAAACTAAACTTACAATGTGTCCCAATAAACAAAAAAATTATGAAGGAATAAATATTTAGGAAAATTATATGCAATGCTTCCCGGCCCACACTCCCCTCAACTATCTATATATCTTAACCCTACCTATTCTTGAACATATAAAGGGGGGGGGGGTGGTAGAGTTCTTCTATCAATTTACAATAACACCCGTTCAGATTTCCGACCCCATTATTTTTGTACTGTCCCATACCAAAAAAAATACCTTGCGCATTTATTACTTTGTATTTTATTATGATATTATTTTATGTTCCAAACAAAAAAAAAAAAAAAAAAAAAAAAAGTCTGATTTTTTTTTTGATGTACTGATAACGTATCACGTAAACAGTAAAAAAAAATTAAATCCTATCAATCCCTAGTTGTCAAACAGTGCGGTTACTGGATCCGCCCAGGAAACAAATGGATCCGGATTCAGGCCATGACCAATGACCATTTCTTTAAGATTTACTAATTTTTTAAACAAAAGAATAATTTCAAATGATATTTCTTTTTTTCGCTTATTTTCATGTCAAAACTTGATGATCCATTCAAAAAAAAAAAAAAATTAATAATCGCTCTTTTAGCAGACTTGATTTGGGTTGAGGGGAAAACGCCTTTTTAGTTTTTGGTTGATATTTTTCCGCCTGGATCCGACTCCAGGAAACCAAGATGTTGCACGGATCCGGATTCTAAGAACTGTTTTCAAGAAATTATAATTTCTTTTGGACATATTGTATCTGCATCATAAAGTATACACGGACCATTAAAGGAGAAGAATATAAAACCATCAGGATATATAACCTTACAACCTTATAGTATTATTCATGCCTACTCAGCATATTTGATCATTATACGAAACGAGGATTTTTTAGGTCAACTTTCCAGGGTTAAGGGACTTGAAAAGGTTTTAGGGCTGTTAAAAATTTCAAGTGGCGCTTTATTAAAAAAGTCACAGTTCCGATTCTACAGTGAGCTTTAACAGTAAGCAAAAAATGTCTGTATTCTTAATATTTTTATTTGAAAATTAATAATTTAAATTGAGGATTCAGCAGTGACAATATTTTTATTATTTCTTTCTTTTTCAATTTACTTTATTATACTCACTGGACCTTACGATAAAGTCGAAAGCAGCATAAAATTGAAATTTTTATTTCAAATTTTAAGGTAAAATCTCAGCTAATTCTTAACTCTATTTTACATATTTAATATATTCGAATACAGTCGCGTACAAAAATAGAAAATAAAACTGGTCAACTGAAAGATATCCTATATTTTAAGGTGGACAATAGTTTTTTACCTTCAGCATTTGCATTCCAAGCTCAGGAAGAGCGGCCAAACCTAAAAAAATGTTTTAAAAAATTGACCGAATAAATTAAAATTTAAATAGTTTTTTTAAACTCACCAACTGTCTGCCCTTCTCCTGATACAAGAGCAAGCTTATCAGAAGTCAGTAGCGGACTAAACCTAGAGTAGTAAACCTAGAGGAGTAAAGCTAGAGGAGTAACCCTAGAGGAGTAACCCTAGAGGAGTAAACCTAGAGGAGTAAAAGTAAACCTAGGAGTGAACCTAGAGGAGTAAACCTAGAGGAGTAAACCTAGAGTAGTAAACCTTAAGTAGTAAACCTTGAGTAGTACACCTAGAGTAGTAAACCTAGAGGAGTAAACCTAGAGGAGTAAACCTAGAGGAGTAAACCTAGAGGAGTAAACCTAGAGGAGTAAACCTAGAGGAGTAAACCTAGAGGAGTAAACCTTGAGGAGTAAACCTAGATAGTAAACCTAGAGTATTAAACCTCAAGTAGTAAATCTTGAGTAGTCAAGCTAGAGTAGTAAACTCAGAATAGTAATTTTAGAGCACTAAACCTAGAGTAGTAAACCTAGAGGAGTAAACCTAGAGTAGTAAACCTAGAGTAGTAAACCTGGAGTAGTGAATCCAGAGTAGTACACATGGAGGTAAACCTAAAGTAGGAAACCTAGAGTAGTAAACCTAGAGTAGTAAACCTAAACCTAGAGTAGTAAACCTAGAGTAGTAAACCTATAGTATATCTAGAGTAGCAAACCTAGAGTAGCAAACCTAGAGTAGCAAAGCTTGTGAACCTAAGGTAGTAGACCAAGAGTAGCAAATCTAGTGAACGTAAAGTAGTAAACCTAGAGTAGTAAACCTAGAGGAGTAAAGCTAGAGGAGTAAACCTAGAGGAGTAAAAGTAAACCTAGAGGAGTAAACCTAGAGGAGTAAACCTAGAGGAGTAAAAGTAAACCTAGAGGAGTAAACCTAGAGGAGTAAACCTAGAGGAGTAAACCTAGAGGAGTAAACCTAGAGTAGTAAACCTAAAGTAGTAAGCCTCGAGTAGTACACCTCGAGTAGTAAACCTAGAGGAGTAAAGCTAGAGGAGTAAAGCTAGAGGAGTAAACCTAGAGGAGTAAACCTAGAGTAGTAAACCTAGAGTAGTAAACCTAGAGGAGTAAACCTAGAGGAGTAAACCTAGAGGAGTAAAGCTAAAGGAGTAAACCTAGAGGAGTAAACCTAGAGTAGTAAACCTAGAGTAGTAAACCTGGAGTATTAAGCCTCAAGTAGTAAATCTTGAGTTGTCAAGCTAGAGTAGTAAACTCAGAATAGTAATTCTAGAGCACTAAACCTAGAGTAGTAAACCTAGAGTATTAAGCCTCAAGTAGTAAATCTTGAGTTGTCAAGCTAGAGTAGTAAACTCAGAATAGTAATTCTAGAGCACTAAACCTAGAGTAGTAAACCTAGAGGAGTAAACCTAGAGGAGTAAAACCTAGAGTAGTAAAACCTAGAGTAGTAAACCTGGAGTAGTGAATCCAGAGTAGTACACATGGAGAAATAAACCTAAAGTAGGAAACCTAGAGTAGTAAACCTAGAGTAGTAAACCTAGAGTAGTAAACCTAGAGTAGTAAACCTAGAGTAGTAAACCTAGAGTAGTATATCTAGAGTAGCAAACCTAGAGTAGCAAACCTAGAGTAGCAAACCTAGAGTAGCAAACCTAGAGTAGCAAAGCTTGTAAACCTAAGGTAGTAGACCTAAAGTAGCAAATCTAGTGAACGTAAAGTAGTAAACCTAGAGTAGCAAACGTAGTGAACCTGAAGTGGTAAACCTAGAGTAGCAAACGTAGTGAACCTAAAGTAGTAAACCTAGAGTAGCAAACCTAGTGAACCTAAAGTAGTAAACCTAGTAGTAAAACAAGTAAGCCTAGAAAACCTAGGACGTAGTAAACATACTAAATCGAGATTAACTAGATTTTGATTTCTGTAACAAAGGGTATTGATTCATTTAAAGGGAGCGTAATATAGTGTACACTGTATTAATCAGTATTAATCTTTACTTTCGACAAATCACTAGAATGGCATTTTGTTTTAAACCTAAACAGAAGTATAAGAAGTAAGTAAGACGAGTTGTAGCACCGAGTAGATTTTTAAATCAATTCTAATCTAGCCTATACCTCTTTCATTTATCGTAATCACTCCCTTTAAATCTTGATGAGAGACTAATTTCTTGTACCAGAGAAAACCTTTTTAATTACTATCTCCTACCTTTCATAAGCTGCCAATCTTTTTTCTGTCTTCAGGAACACAGATTCAATTCCAACTAAAAATATCAAGTAAACAATATTTTCTCCCCCCTCTCCCTTTATAAAGATAATCTTCCAATTTTTTTTCAAAAAAAATTTTAAAGATAAAATGTTTTAACTTATTGAGACGCAAAATGAGCCTAATAAAGAGGAACATATTTTCTTGACAAAAAAAATCATCCAAATTTTCCCCAATCCCCAATTTGAAAAAAAATGTCCTCAAATAAGATACAGTGATTTTTATTGATGTTTTTAATAGAAAAATATCAGAATTTATAAAAATATTGTATTATAAAGAAAGAATCAACTAGAAATTTGAATTTCAACTTTAATTTTTCTCCCAATCTTCAAAATTGTATGCACCTATTTAATGCATCCGCTGTACAGTGAACAGCGTAAACTACAGTACATAATCTACATATGTTTATACCTAGTGTAACTCCGCGAAGAATAAAAGGAGCAACAAGTATACACCCCTAGTATATGTAGCACTGTACATACAGTGTACAGTGTACGATGTAAACTACACTTATTTTTATACCTAAATAATGCATCCGCTCTATAGTGTACAGCGTAAACTACAGTACATATGTTTATACCTAATATAACTCCGTTTAGAATAAAATGAGCAACATGTTTATCCCTAGTTAATGTAACAACTGTACATACAGTGTACAGTGTACAGCGTGAACTACAGTACATTTGTCTATACCTAATGTAACTCCTCGAAGAATAAAAGGGGCAACTGTTGTATTAAGGGGCATTCCACCAGCCAATCCACACGCAGAAACTGCTCCTCCACTCTGGATTAACAAATAATTATATTTATAAAATTTTATTGTATTTTTAAAAAAATTAATTTTCTCAAAAAATTATAAACCTAAGCCTATGAAAATAGTTTAAACTAAAGAATTAAAAGTATTTAATAGATTGCTTATGTTATTTAAACAAAAATCAATGAATTTGAAAGTTAAATGAATTGTTTTTCATATGTGATGTACAAAAAGATGTTTTTAAGTTTTTTAATTGACGGTAAATGGACTGTCTTACAATACAATGAATCAAAACAAAATTTTAAGATCAATACTTTAATTTGTTTAGTAAAATTATTTCGTACCTTTGTTAGAGTGAGAACATTTGCTAATATCTTTCCTCCGCAGCTGTCAACACATCCAGCAAACCTTTCCTTGCCAAGAGGTTTAGGATCAACCTCAAACTCTGATCTTTCAAGAACCTTGATAATGATCATTAATATCCAATATCCTGGAACAACCTCAAACTCTGATCTTTCGAGAACCTAGAGAAAGATCAATAATATCGAAGAAAAGCTTCAAACTCTGATCTTTCAAGAACCTAGAGAAAGATCAATAATATCCAGGAATATCTACAAACTCTGATCTTTTAAGAACCTAGAAAAAGATCAATAATATCGAACAATAATTACAAACTCTGAGTTTCAAGAATCCAGAAAAAGATCAATAACTTCAGACTCTGAACTCTGATCTTTCATATAACTTTCTCTCTGTTTGTATTCAATAAACGGATTAAAACGGCTAAACCGAACGGGCCAAAGTTTGTTGTTTAATTTAGTAATATTTTTGAAAATGCACCAACTTAAAACAGTAAAATCCCAGATAAAATTGTTTTATTAGAGAACGACAAATATAATGGTGACTTCAAGGTTAAATTAAATGGCAAAATTTGAAGTCAAAACTTTTACTTCCCTTGAAGACTAGAACAAGAAAAACAAGACGAAAATTGGTTTTTTTCTGCTTCCATTCAAAAACTGTCTGAAGCTATCTGGGAAAAGGAATAAAAATCGATGAAACTTTATTTCTTTGGAATTTTATCAGTTCATGTTTCTAAATTAAAAGTTCCAACATAAACACAAAACAATATTGAGGAAAGGAAGTTTAAGAAAAAGACAATGTTTTTCAATCAAGAGTATAAACCTATTTTAATCACCCAACAAAGTTGTTTCATCAAATTTTTAGCGTAGGAAACTTTTTAATAATTCATAATTAAACTTAAGAGCAAGTCTTTGGGTTAGTGGAACTAGCTATTTTTTTTTTACTTTTTATTATTTTTAAATTAAGAATTTAAGAATTGTTTCTAATTATACAGAAATGTTTCACAGAAATTTTGCGCAGCTTGAATAAAAAACTTCGCAAAAAAGGCGCAGAGAGGGGAGGGGGGGGGGGTTGGATTTCCGGAAGAAAAAAATAGTTTTTTTATTGTTCTTTGTTTACCTGTGATGCACCGATAGATTTAAGATAATCTCCCTCAGCCTTTGCTTTACCAGACACAGCTATAACCTAGCATTGAAAAGATTGTTCATACCTCGCAAATTTTATTTTCATTTCGTTTTTTTTTCAACCGTTCAAAAAAGTTATTATCATTCGTTCTCGAATTATTGTTGATTTTACATATATCTATTTCGTTCGTTTTCTCAGTAAACGATCGTTAAGTAAATTAATATTATTTGCTCGATAAAATCGTTCGTTCAATAAAAACATGATAGTTTTATTTAAAGGTTTGTTGAAAAAATTGTTTGTTTTAAAAGTTTGTCTAAAAAATGTTTGTTTAGTAAAAATAAAACTATCGCTGTTGTTAAATCTTTTGGAAATTTTGTTCGTTCAGTAAAAAACTATTTTTTTAAAGGTTTATCGAAAGATTTAAAATAGTTTTTAAGTTCATTCTCTGCTATTGTGAAGGTAACTAATACGGATTATTTCAAAAGTTTTCCTCTATTTGTTAATCAACAGATGTTTGAAGCGTATAATCCAATTAGATTTATACCTACTCGGAAATAATATTTTTTCAGATTTTTATAGATTTTGGATCAAACAGTAAAGTAACCTGCACCCGGAAAATGGAAATAATATTATTGCGGGAATTAAATTAAGTAATGTTATACATACTCTTATATGATAAATATGTAGGCTATAAACTGAACATACTTATCGAGTAGGAGTGAAAAATGAAAAATAAAAAATGTATAATAATTGAAAATTCTATAAAAAGTTTTGTTATCTGCAGTTAGTGCTACTGCTATATATGGTTTATAGTCAACAATAAAAATTAATAAGAAACAACAAACAATCTTAAAATTTGTATAAACTTCTTGAAAGAGTCATGAAAATTGAAAAAAATAAGCATTTAAATTTCCGATACCAGATCATTATCTACCAGAAATTCAGCAAGTACGTCAAACCTCACAAGGTAATTAATTAACTTTATTGGAACATCTAGAATTTTAGAAACCAAACATGTCTTAAAAAAGATAAAAATGTACACTAGTCAGAATAATTCAGTGAACTAAATTTGTTTTCATGGTTGTACAACATATGTTTTTAGAGTAACAAAGTTCTTCAAAAGCAATGATTTTTTTAGTTTTATAATGATTTATACAGATACTGAACCTACTCTAGTATTAAAGTATACATATATCTTATAGCTGGTTAAGCTGAGAGTAGTAGGACAACAACAGACACTGAACTGAACTGAACAAATTATTTTGCAAAATTTCGCACTTTTTCACATAAATAAACAAATGAAAACCGCGAAAACAATACGAAATTTTGTAAAAATACTTTTCACGAAAATTTTCGCATTTTTCTCAAGCCAACGAAGTACAAAAATATGTGAATTCNATGAATGGGAAATTATCGCGAAACCATTTACCCTTTTCACTGGAAACCTTACAGAGGAATAGGACAGTAACAGACATTGAACCTACTTCAGCATTAAAATAGGCATATTCTTGCAGAGATAAGATCGAGTAGAACGGCAACAGATACTAAACCTACTACAGTATTAATCTATGCGTAATCGTACTCCATATCCTAATTGAGCGAGGAAAATGACTGATACTGAACATACTCCAGTATAATATATATCCTTGCTAGATCAGAAGTATGACTGATAATGAAACTACTCCAGTATATGAATATATATATATATATATATCCTACTTCATATCCTGGTATATATATTGTAAAAACTACCTCATATCCAAGCTGGGAGAGAAGTAGGACAGATACTGAACCTACACCAATATATATGTATATATTGTATAAACTACCACATATTTAAGCAGGGAGAGAAGTAGGACTGATACTGAACCTACACCAATATATACGTATATATAATGGATAAACTACCTCATATCCAAGCTAAGATAGGAGTAGGACTGATACTGAACCTACTCCAATATATATATATATATATATATGTATATATATTCTATAAACTACCTCATATCCAAGCTGGGAGAGAAGTAGGACAGATACTGATTCTACTCCAATATATACGTATATATAATGGATAAACTACCTCATACCCAAGCTGGGAGAGGAGTAGGACTGATACTGAACCTACTCCAATATATACGTGTATATAATGGATAAACTACCTCATATCCAAGCTGGGAGAGGAGTAGGACTGATACTGAACCAACACCTCCAGTAGCCCCAGTCACTAGAATAGGACCATCTCCAGGACTTAAACCTTGGTTCTCCAACCCCTTAAAAAACAAATTCATTTTGCTTTGCTTTTAAATGCTAAAATAGAATTGTCTCTGAAAAAAGTAAGCATGGTATTAAAGAAGCCTTTAGCATTAGTATTGATGGCATTGTAAACACAGTTTTTTAGCCATAATGTTTGTTTTAAATTGTTCTATATTCCTTTAGTGACATAAAGATAAACTGCTTTAATTACCAATGTGAAGTTAGGTAATTTTACAAGTTTTGTTTGATGTAATGAGATTGCTTAATCTCCTTACAAAAGAGGGCGTCCATTCCTATGTAGAAATGGACTAGTTCGTTTTATTTTCAATCGTTCAAAAAATTGATTTCCTTCGTTCTCAAAATTATCGTTCATTTTCCATCTATTTTGTTCGTTTTCTCACTAAAGCAGCGTTCAGTAAAATCGTTCGTTCAGTGTAATTGTACGTTTCTTAAAATTGTTCTTTCACTAAAAAATATAGTTTTTCCAAAACTTAGTTTGAAAAAATTATTTGTTCAGTAAAAAACTATTATTTTTTAAAAAGTTTGTACAAACAAATCGTTTGTTTAATAATAACCTGTCGTTCTGTAAAAAGTTTGTTCCAAAAAATCATTAGTTCAGTTTTTTCAAGTTTGTTTAAACAATCTTAAATTCATTTCATTTGTCTATCGTTTTTTTCTTTCTGTTATAGGTCAGCAAACTCTCACTCTTTAATAAATTTTTATCTCTAGAAGTTAATAGTTAAAGTACATCAAGTTTCTGAAAAGAGATTGTCTTTGATAAATTTAGAAATGTACCATAGTACATATGCTACCTGTACACAAAGCATAGCGGTGTACCCTGCAGTACCAATTTTAGCAGCACTCTCAGCGGTTAAGACTGAGGGTAAAGGAATAGCCCACTCTGATCTGTGAATACAAAAGTAATTTTACTTAAACTCTCTCTCAATTATTCTATCTTTTAATAACAAAAATGGATGATTTTAAACTTTTGATCAATTATGAGGCGAGCAATGAGCTGTTTTATGTTAAACGAAACTATCTGGACCCCCCCCCCCTGTGGTTTAAACATAACCTTCCAGAGCCCGCAATTTAAAAACTTGGAAAATAAGTCTCGGGTCCAAGCTGTCGTGGGGCCTTATTTACGGCTTGAGCTTTCGGATTCAAGCTGCATCTTATTTCCACAGAGTTGAGTTAAAAAAACCGGTTTCATATTTTATTTGACGGATGTTCATGGTAGGAATTGGCGCATTCCGGGTTTTTATGAGAGCAAGACTCAACATTGATCCTTATTCTCAACTAAACCCAACCAAGATCGGTTTTAATTTCATTGTTCCTAACTCCTTAAGTTGAGCCCAAGGTCTTGCAGCTGTCAAGCATGTGACACAAGCTGTCGTCAGAGTCTGGTCGAAGATTGGGTCTTAAAAGCGGGTTTAAGGAATTACGGCTCGAGTCGGAGTTTTTAAATTACGGAGCTTGCAGTCAAACTAAGAAAATGAGGAAATTAAGTCCAAAACTAAAATCATTGTCAAACTAAAAAAAAATCAAAAATAAGAAATACAGTTTTGAAAAGTAGCCTAAATGTTATGTATTACCTAAGCCTGGCTTCTCCTGCATATCCACCGTAATGATCAGTACCAATACCCCAACCATTCACAACTACATTCTGTCCAACCTACGTCAGAAAATATAATCATTTTTATTAAAACTCTAAAGTTTTCACCAAAAAAACAATTAATTTTGAAAAAAAATTGCCAAACCAAAACCTTTGCTGAGCCAAAAATAAATATTTTTCTATCTCGCAATTTATGATGAATTGTGGGTTCTCTGTGTTTTGGAGTTAATGCCAGAGACAAAGAGAAATTGAAAAAATTAAATTTTTTATTTACGATCTTCCCTGGACCTTGGTGCTCCTCACATGAGAGAATAAAGAGCACCACTGTGTAGAATTTTTCTACGGAGGTTCTCTTTAAATAACGTAGTACAATTTTTCAAATAATAAATATTTTGATATTTTGTATTCTTTGGAAGATCAAATATTTTCGTAAAATAACCTTTAAATTTGAAGATTTAGTTTCAAGTACAGAGCCAACTAGATCTATTCCGCCCACCATAGGAGGCTTCAAGCCAGGATACCTTGCAACAATAAATATATAAACTAGGCCCCTAAATGAATTTTTTGTCCGACAATTTCAATTTTTCAATTTTGTTTTTAAAGTCGCCAATTTAATCTCAGATTTTCTGTTTAACCTTTCTGTGGGTCATGTGATCGTGAGTTGCCATTAAAAAATGTCGGCCCAATCGGATTTTTTGGCGTTTAAGACACAAACAAACAAACAGACAGACGGGCCAAACTATTTCACATATTAATAACATATTCCACAACTTACTATGCCGCGGTAACCACCCAGATGTGAATATTCTTTAGAAAATTTGTGTAGATCATTTTCTTGTATTTGCCCTAAACATCTAGGGATACCTGGTTGAAATTTAAAATTTAATTATTGACAAGGGACCCACTACATATTACAATATGTAGGTTGCAGGTTTCAGAATATTCAATTATTTCTTGGCATCAATTTAACTTTACTCCACTAAAACGTTAATTATTTGAAATAAAAAATATTGATATATTAATTACTTCCAAATTCAGAAATTTTCTATATTTGGCTCGGATCGTTAAAAAATCAATTTTATTCCAAACAAATCATTCAGATATTACAACCTATAATCATCCATTTTTTTTGGCGCATTCGTATAAAGTTGATATTTAATAATACTTCTTTTTATTAAATATTTCGCTACAACTTGTTTTCACGACTATCGATGGATTTTCGAACATTACTGGAAAATATGAAAATGTTGTCTTCATTATCAAAAATCCTGGAAACAGGAATGAATGTTTTCAAAAGAATAAAAAGAAAATATCAAAAATAATAAAATCTATAAAAGGAAAAAAATAATAATTTTTTCATTATTTTAAAAATCTTTCCAAAAATAAAACAATTTTACGAAAGTTTAGATTTTTTTTAAAGAAGTGTTATCAGAAAATTTAATTTTCAAAGTAAAAAAAAAATATTTTTCTTAATATTTCTAGAAAAAACATAACTTTTAAACTTTGCAAAAAATATTTAACACAGATTGTGGAAACCAATGCAAATGCGCTTAAACAAACAGTTCGGATGAAAAGGGGTAGATAATCGTAGGATTTAACAATGATTATTGAAAGCTTCAGCTGTTGCAGGGTAGATAATCCAGCCTCTAGTTAGGGTGGATTTATGACTGATGAAACAGTACTTCTATAATCGTGCGACAAGTCTAAAACGTAGGAAAAACCTAGGATTTATTAACCGTAGGTTTATACTAGGATTAAGATACTCTTCTGATGAAGCGGTCTCTTATTAAAGAACCTTGGAAGCTTCAGAGGAACATAAAGGTTAATCCAGGGAGGTTTAACATAAGAAGATGGTGGGGGGGGGGGAGGGGTTAGTTTTTATTCTACTGTGGCATTTTAGGACAGCTAGCAGCATAGCAATATTACTAGTAAATGAACAGACCTATTAAGTCACAGTGAATGTAAACAAATCCTATCTTCCTCTCCCTATTTCTACTCCCGCTGGGTTAATCAAATGACGATTTGAAAATTTAAAATATTGATACAAATTATAAAGATTATATTTTCCTATTGTTTGAGGAGTCCAAAAAAATGTCAAATAATTAAAAAGTATTCTTTTTATTACTAACTTACTTTCCTGTGACGACCATGGCATCTTTATAGTTGAGAGTTGAATACTGGACTTTAACTAGAAGATCACAATCTCCAGGCTGCGCACGCACAGTTGAACAGCTGGGTAGGTCAGCTCTAAAAATACAATTATTTGAACTCTTTAACCCTTTAACAGATAAAAAATGAGAAAGATATTGTCGTTTTCCTAGCTAAGTATTAAATTCTGATAATTCTTCAATTGCTTTTTTGAAGTATAGATATGCACAAGTACCTTTTAACCCTATCCCTGCTTGGGTACTTGAAAACCAGGATATGCTGGGGGGGTTGGGTCAATTTTGCCCCCCCCCCTCTAAATCCCATGTTTGATGTCCAAATATGACAAATTATACATCATTTGAAAGCTCTTATGCTCTACTTTCAGAATCTGCAAACAAATTTGCAAATTTGCAAAAGCTTAATTTTTTGGAAAAATCAAGTTATATAGTAAAAATGTTTGCAAAAAAAATGATAAATAAATTTTTTTTTTAAAAGCCCTTGACCATGCCATTTTAAATATGCAACAATTTTTGCAAAATTTTAAATAACCTGATGTATAATTAAGAAAAATTAAAATTTGCAAATTTCTATGAAGGGTTATATACAAATAATTTGCAAAAATGTTCTCTGAAAAATTTGTGCAATCCATTTCCTTATGTCATAGGCTTTCCAAAAAGCTAAAAATTATCAAAAGTGAGTCAGAACAAAGATTTAGTTTAGTCATTCAGGCAGTGTGCCTGAGTACTCAGACAGTTAGTAAAAAAGCCCGGTTTTATGCCCTAAAGGGAGGGCTATGGGTATTTAGGAAAAGTCATAAAATTTCAACTGCCTGAGACCAATACTTTTTGAGTTATGAAAAAAAGCTAGAGGGGGGGGGGGTCAAATTGCCCCCCCCCAGCAGGCATAGGGTTAAAGAGAACTTACAATTTAAAATAATAAGTTTAAAAATTTTAAAACAATGCTAGATCAGACAAAGATTTTAAGAGATGCATCTTATGATGTTCAATGAGTGACACATCACTTTAGATTACGCCTGTTACAAGGTACAGTCCCTTTAAAAATATGTAATAACATCTATGTTTGTAATTTGACTTTATTTAATCTGTTTAGTTCGATGTATTCTTGCCTATTTTAAAAGTTTTCTTGACACCTCTGACTATTAAATCACATATTTTACTGCAGTAATAATTATAACAACACATTAGTTCGATCAATTTGTAAGACTACTACAGCAGGAGGGGATAGAAAGCCCCCCTGTAATCCTTAGAGCAGTTTTCACGAAGCCCTCCTGCAATCCTTAGAGCTGTTTTCACGAAGCCCCCCTGCAATCCTTAGAGCTGTTTTCACGAAGCCCCCCTGCAATCCTTAGAGCTGTTTTCACAAAGCCCCCCTGTAATCCTTAGAACTGTTTTCACAAAGCCCCCCTGTAATCCTTAGAGCTGTTTTCACAAAGCCCCCATGGAGCCCTTACGATACAAAAAGTGTTTAAGTACATTAGAGATGGCAGTTGTTAGAGTAGGGCCAAGGGCTTATTCAGGGAGGGGGAACTGGGCCTCACTTTCTGTAAGATCCATGTACAAAATTGATAGGAGGTGGGGCGGGGGGGGTCCAAAACTCGTTCTCTAGGAATATACCAAAAAATGAATTTGTTGAGTTAAATTCATGTGGATTAGTAATATGAACATTTCTGATAAGAGGCGAGTAATCAGCGATTTATAAATTATAAATTAGAATCTATAGATTAACCTGGTCAAGGTTTCAACCGATGCGGGGAATTTTCCTCTTGTAACAAGAGCTTGGAATTGTTGATAAACAGCACGAGGTAATTTCATTTTATCTAGGAAAAATTTAAATTTACATTTTTTACATTTTGACAGATATATATTTATATCTCTATGACGTGAAACATACTGGAAAGAGCTGTATTCACTCTTAAAACAAATTTAAAAGAACGTTTTTAACTCTCAAGTCTTGTTGAAGCGAGATATGGGCGACACTGGACTTAGAGTCTGTAGTGTTTTATCTTGTTTTTCAAGTATTGAATGTTTACACTGACCTCCTGGCCTTCTGAGCCCAAAACTTAAGACAGGGTATCGTCATGAAAACCAGTTTTAGAACCCAGGTTTCATGAATGGGGTTATGCAGTTTTGTGGATATCAATATTTGTGTTATGAAATATTACTTTATTTAGTTTTTTCATATTTTCCATTTTTTTAAAACCTTTTAAATCAAAATCTACACAAATGTTAAGATCCCAAAAACGAAACTCTGGAGTTTCGTTCAACGATACTCTTTTAAATTTCGGGCTCTGTGCATAGTCTATGCAGAGGTCACTGTGTACGTTCATGTGTACAGTTTAAGTTCACGGAGTACACAAACCGGAACATCTGATTTGTGATTTTTAAATTTCTTTCTGTGTTTAATAATTTCATTCTGTGAAGTTAATTTTTGAAGTAGCATCATTTAGAAAGGATATTTTAGTTAGTATTCTGCGTGGAATAGATAGTTTTTTTTTTATTAAGTTAACTTAATATTTTGGGAAGGGGGAACATGGGCTAGCCCCCCTGTCGGAAAAATTTTCAAAAAAAAACGCTCTTTTTAGGATTTGAATTAAAAAAACAGCATTTGTGAATTGTTGAAGGGTTGGCTCTGTGCTTAATATACGAGATTCTTACAATATCTGCATGGCGTGTTCTGTGTTTAAATAAATATACTTCCAACAGCTTTAAAATGAACGATTAAGTAAATTAATTATACATCTGCGCGGAGCGACAAAAATAATGATTCTTTCAGTGTCTTTTCATGTATTTCTTAGCGTCATGGCTCCGTGATATGGTAATTTCCTAGAGAACGATTTTTGGACCCCCCCAGCCCCCCCTTCCTTATTATATTTCGTGTTATTCTTCTTAGGTTGTCAGGTTTTGTGTAACCTTAAATGTTATATGTATGGTAATACTTATGAGAAGTAACATTTATACATATAAGCACGAAATGAAAATTATCATTGTTTTGGTTTGCCTTCGAAATTGTCATTGAAATTGTAGTTCGATTGTTCCTGGTTTATTTATTATTGCTGGATTATCATTAAGATAATTGTATTCCTGGTCTAATCCTGACTTGTTTCAACTTTCAAGTTGAATTTGAACAATTGAGGAATTACATTAAGTTCCTCAGGGTCTTCAATCAACCCAGTTCCTTTGTTCAAATATTTTTCAAACTTTTGCAATAAATTATTACACAATTGAACCCATGACCATGAAACTAGAGATGCAAATTGACATTGCATCCCAACGGTTTCCGCATTGGAATGTAAAAAAGTTTAAAATTACATATTTCTTAATTCAATCTTCATTCATGTGAGTCCAGAAGGGGTATAATGGTGAGGGGGAGGGTAAGGGGTACGTCCCCTCCTCTGAAAACTGGGGGGACGTCCCCCCCTTGAAAAATTAGGAGCGCAAGAAAAGAGAGCAGGGGCCTTTTAGCCCTTTATTTTAGATTTTTTAAATAGATTAAAAAATAGTTTTTCCTGCGGCGCCACTTTTTCACTCAAAATGAAGATTTATAGTGATACAAATTCAAATCTTACATAAACATTTTCCACCTTCCACCCCCCAGTTGGTCTTGGGGTGTTTAATGTTGGATGTTTTTCCAATTTTTAAAAAAAATATTTTTTCAAATTTTTATTTTCCACAGGCAACGCCGGGCCCTTCAGCTAGTATATCTATATAACACAACTAGACATTCGTATATATATGTTGCGTATAGCAGGCCAAACGACTGGACCGATTGGGTCACTTTTTTTTGTGGACACTCATTGTTAAAGGCTAAACAAAAATTTTAAACAAATTTTCAACATTTTTTTCCACGGGCAACCCCGGGCTCTCCAGCTGGTCCTCCAATATGTATTGCCTCCCTCTAATGAAGAGATAAATAGTTGAATACATCTTTCTTCTTGAAAAGAACTTTATTTTAGATAAAAATGAGTTCTAAGGTTGCATTGAGGCAGAAAATGAAAATAATCTTGAATAGTCTAAGGTAAAAAAACTTGCATTTCGTGGACTCTTCCGCTCATTTTAAAAAATTCTTTTTTTTGTGTTATGGCTTAAAAGGACTAATATTATCCGTAATTTAAAGTAACTATTCTTTTATAAGGCGGGCATGCCTGATTTACAACGGTACCCCATATACCTTTTATTGATAAATATAGTAGAAGATATCGTTATTTCTCAAATTAGAATTTTATTATCACTAAATCTTTGCCATCTAACGTGGATGGTCTTTGATATTATAAACCAGGAATTCTGGTTGAATAATTTGTCATAGTTTTGAATATTTGGGATTAGAAAATAATTAGAGTTTGAGGCGATGGACCATGTACTTTTCGGATTTCATATTTCGGAAATTTTTTATTACAAAATTTAAAACAAATTTTTTGCTGCTGGAGATCGTTTCAGGGAAAATATGAATTTTGTTAAAAAGGATAAAAATGCAATCCTCAGGATCACTGATCAGGGTGACATGAAATTGTGTCACAGTCTTCTACTATATTTTGAATATTTCTGATATTTGAAAGACAGTTTTCTAAATATTTCCATAAATTTTATGTTTTAGCGTTTCTGAGATATCATATCTGTTTAGTTCGATGTATTCTNTTTCTGCAAGACTTAAAAATTCATATTTTTACAAACACGAGAGAAAATATGTTTTTATTTTTTTCCATCTTATACATTTTTTAATGTATTTTGACCTAGATTTCCTGTGATTTTTATTATTATTATTATTGTTGTTATCCTCATTCTTGTAATGTCAGAAAATTGTGACGTAAGTCTTTTCCATGAACCTTACATTGTGCCATGCAAATCTTATTTTACCAAAGCCATAGAGTCAAGATGCATTCGAAATTTTCTCCTTTTATGAACTCTTTAGGAGTAATCTAATTTTTAAATTTTACTGATTTGCTCATTTGAAAAAAGTGCCTTGTTTTTTTAAAAAGAAAACTCTTTCAAATGATTTTGCAAAATAAAAATTGTATTTTTATGAAATCTATTGCAAATATTGTTAAAGTTGAAAATAAACAATATTGAGTTTAAACCAATTTGCCATAAAGCTGGCCAATTTTATAATTTGACCAGATAAGACTATGATTCAATATTAATAGTCAATTTTTAACATTTAAAAAAAATTGTTGAGAAATCAAATATTTGATCTAATATATTCTAAACAGACAGGTTTGACAGTTAAATAGACAATTGAAAATGTTTAGATTAAATTAAAAATCAAAATCTAATGAGTAATAAATGAAATTATTAATAATTTTTAGAATATTTATAATCTAAATAACTGAGTAAATGAGATATCAGAGTGGTATTAAATGTTTTTTAAATAAAATGTGATCTTAGTTAATTGTTGTACAGTGTACACCGTTTTGGAAATATATTTTTTATTCTTTTATTTAAAGTTCTTCATGGGTTTATTGAATTATACGTTTGATTTGATTTAGAAATAATTATTTTTTTGTTTCATTTAAGAAGATCTTTTATTTGATTGATTTTAAAATATCTTTGATTTGTTTGATTTAGAAGCTCCTTGATTTACCAGCTTACCAACAGTCGAAGGTTTTTTAAATGTTCTATTTGAAAATTTCTTTTTCTCCAAATCAGCAAAAGAAATATTAAAATTACTAACATTCCGAACGTAGATGAGTGGGGATGTTTTTACATGTTTTCCTTAAGATTTTTGCCCTTTTTGTTTTCTCTATTTTTATTCTCCAGAATTATTTTACAAAAAAAAGTCCACGTTGGGGAATGAGAAAAAAAGATCCTGAACTGTAATAATGTATCAATCTTATCCTAGATTTAGGTTTTTACACTTTTACTCAACTTTAAAGATGCTCACACTCACAAAATATAATGTTTTAACTTTTTTATCCAGAGGGCCTAAGTATTAGCTCAAGAAAAATCTATTTCATTTTAATTTTAATCAAAATTTCATTCTGAAATTAGTGATGTTCCTGCCCAAACAGTTAAATAGAATTTTTTTAACAATACTTTTTTTTTCAAAAAATGTTTATTTAAATTATTTGTGTTTTCTGTTCCGGATCAATTATTACATTTATTCCATTTTGAGAGAATTAATATCCCGTGTATTTTCCTGGAAATTCTTCTCGGATATTATTTCTCATAGTTGTCCTGGGACATGAGAAATAATGTTCCAGGAGTTACTAAATTTTGCGAATTTTAGAGTTTTTTCGCGTTTTTTCGGTTTAAAAAGGATTAAAATTATATAAGCAAGTACCTTGTGTATAATTTGGGAAATTATATTTTAACCACAAACAAACAAAATTAAGTAAAAATCCCAGCAAAAATATAATGTCCCGTATTATAACACAAGGCGGTTGCATAAATAAGATGAATAAAATGTGATCTACTTTTATCACGCACCTCTGCCACTTTAGTAAAAGTAAATTCAACATATATGAAGTATAAAGTCTGACCGCGTCAACCTTGTAGCACCGGCTAGTCCTGTTGAGTGTCTTCTTTATTAACCCAATGTCCGTGCGGTGCAGTATTAACTGGGACCAGAAAGGTTTACCCGGATCGGAAATTCAAATGTACTACGGCTGCCCGTGTTATAATTGACATTTTACCAAAATTCCTTCTTTTTTCTCCTTCTGAAAATTGACTACTCTTGCTGAAACAATTAAAAACTTAATTTTTAATTCGCACTATTTTTATTTTTTATTTTCTGTTTTAGAGGATTTCTATTTTTCTGAGTATGAAGGATGAAATTAGCACAACAGCGATATTACAACATTCATTAAGGTTTAAACAATGCAATATATATTACAACATTCATTAAGGTTTAAACATTACATTATTTATATTAAAGGGACTGTAAGCATGATTTCAAGTGACCCCCCATTCAAAGATGGAAATGCCGGATTCACAATGGTAAATCTTCTGACCTAAGGGTGGGCCATAAGAGAATTTATTTACTGTACCAAAACAAGCATTCTGGAATACACAATGAACTCGGTTACGGTAGCTAAAAACTGGTTAAGCAGTCTGTTTACAAACAATCTAATTAGGCTAAAGTTTAAACAATATCTACAGTTTCGGCATGAGAGATGGTGTGGGAACAGGCCAGGCAAAGAAGGTAGTTAGAGGGGGAGGGCTTTATTCTTTTTAACGCAGAACTGTTTACTTATATTTCACTTGTCTGTTTGTTTGTTTATCCGTGTATCCCAATCAATTTTGTAGAAATCCGTCTGTTTGTTTGTTTATCCGTGTATCCCATTCACTTTTGTAGAAATCCACAGTTGAAAATAATTATAAACATTGATACCTATTTCATACAAACAAACTTTTTATGGGTACAGTTGTGAATTGGACATTGCCATCTTTGCATAAAGGGTCGCTTGAAATGTTTGAATTTTCCTAAAACAAAAACGTAAATTTACAAAATTTGTAAAATGAGTGAAGTAAAAAGATGGCTTGGAAAACATTATTCAATTCTTTGTATTATTACTAGAGAAATGTGCCCTAAAAGCCTAGTAAACTAAACTAGGAAAGTTGTTGTTATATTATATAATTATCTTTGGAACCCAGCGCTGCTCAGGTTACTAAAAGTTACTCCCGCCGTTTACCCACACTTGAACGATTTTACCGGGAAAAATAATTTTTTGTTATTGAAGTCGACCCACTCAACTTAGAATCTCAAAACCGATCTAAGAACATTCCCGTGGGTCTCCCGAGTTCCCCAATCAAAATATGAGGCAAATTGGTCCACTGTTTTTGAGTTATGATCGGACAAACAAACGGACAGACAAAC